CACGACTATGAGTCCCCCCCCCCCCTCCCCCGTCTATATCCTGGGCGCCAGTCTCCCACATCTTTCGATATCAGCTCAAGTGACCAACGCCCAAGGCACGCAGCATCACACACGGAATCCACGACTCCAACAAAAAAACAAAACATCACACACTTTTATCACCTGGTGGAGAACGAGGGCGCAGTTCTCCTCGTGACTGGCGCCGGGGTAGACGCTGGACAGGTAGAGCCTTACACCTTGGGTAATAGTCGTCTCTCCGGGAAGCTTGTCGTTCCAATCGAGGACCCTGGCCCCCCGCGGCTGTCGTTCCCGCTGGCGAAGCTCATTGCCGAAGCCCAAGCCGTCCTTGCCCTCGTCCCACAAGTCGCTGGGGGGCTCGCTGCCGCCGCCTGTCTCCGTGCGTTTGACGCCTGCCTGTTTGTCGAAACCGGCTAGCTGGTCGCCGAGGCTGTCCCAGGGATTCGACAAAGGACCCGGGGCCAACGGACTCAGGCCATCTTCGGTTGAGTGCAGCACCACTTGCCCAAGCTTAGGAAGCAACGTTGAAGCCGCGCCGTTATATTGAGAGAGAACAAGCACACGGTAGAAGGGATATAAGCGTCCTGCGATACCCTCGTTAATGACTCGAAGTTCGAAAAGTAATTTGAGAGGACTTAGCTTCATAACAGCAAGTCGATTTATACGGCGTGCCGATTCATACCGCGGAGAGTCGTTGTTCGTGCGGCACCTACGGATGCCGTCGACATTCTACGCGCACGTGCAAAATCAGCCGAGCGGTTCCAGATCTCGACCTAACGCTTAATTGATTTGACCCCCCTAAACGAGCGAAATTGCTGCTACACGCGCCACGACACGACGGGCGGGGTACATATCTCGTGGAAGCAGTGAAAATGATGCTGAGTGTCAAGCCCCACGCCTCACAGGTCACTGCTGCGCCTTTCTTGCTGCAATGTCCAACGTGCTAGACTACTACATGTATTCTACCATCGCTGGTCTCCTCAAGCTCACGACCATCTACGGCATCGCTGTGCTCTCTGGTACAATTCTGCGGAGCAAGCGGCGAGCCACGTGCTGACATACCAATCGGTACGACAGAGTATGGTAGGAGGAGTTATCTTTCGCATGTTGTGTCGGCCACAACCGAGCGAACTACGGCCAAGATATACTCGGAGTACATCGCAAGCAGGATAACTGTCTTTACTTCCAGCAGCTTTGCGTGCAATTCCATACCTTGTGGAGTCTTTTCGTCACGACGAAAGCGAGTCTCGTCAAATTCCTGCGGGTGCGGCCGCAAACTCGTACTGAAATCAAACCATCGCAAGCACTACCTCATTGTGTCATGGAGAAGCTAGCATCACCATCGTTAGAAAACAGGCAAAAAAAGCTCCTATGTTAGGAGGCGGCCTAAGGTCGCAAAGCTAGTCTGGTCTACTGGGTGGGGTGATTTCGGAACGAATTGCGACGAGTCTTATAGGCCACTTGTTACGCTGTCTCTTTTTGGGCTGTCCCTTTTCTCAAAAAGGGACAACTGACCAAAAACCACTTGTTACGTGGTCTTTTTTTGCGTTTTTGAACCTCCCGAAAAGGGACAGCGAAAAAAGACCACCCCATCCTGTCCCTTTTTGGGCAACTTTGTCCCTTTTTGAGAAAAGGGACAGCCCAAAAAGAGACAGCGTAACAAGTGGCCTTATCCACCTATTTATGTCTATCCCGCGCGGCTTTCTGTCTCACCTGGCTACCGCGTCCGCCAAAACCTTCCACCATCCCGCCACCACCGGCGGAGCTGGCAAGAGACGTTGCTGCGGAGCCGCCCTCGCTGTCTTCCCCGTGGAGCTTGAGCTTCGACACGAAGAGGCCGTGCTGCTGCTGATGCCTTGCGCTATCAACGTCAAAAGACTCTTTGACAGATGATGAGTCTTTACCTTTTCGAGGGGGATGTGTGAAACCCAGACCCTCGCACCTCTCTAGTAGCTCCGCCCGCCTCTCCAGCTGCCTTTGCCGCATGGCTTGCTTGTACTGGGCCGGGTTCATGGCTGCAAGGGCACCTAGACGCCCGCTTCAACCTATAGCAGGCGCGGATGTAAGAAGGCCGCAGGCTCACGCTAACTCTGCGATCACAATGCAACGATGTCTTTGCACGCTCACACGCTGCCTGACTGACTCCCCTCAAAGCTTTTCGCGATGCGAATTAGCCCGTCCCTGAATGTCAACTGTATCCCGGTTGGACGGTAGTGGGCTATGACAAGTGAGTTCGTTGTGGGTACCTTCCTCTGCCTGTTTCGTCTGGCAGCCTCGCCGAATACGGCTCGACGCAAAACGCAACACGGAGTTATGCCGCATCTCCGAAAAAGCGGAAAAACATGAGAGACGGAGGCGTTTTTGTTGATAACCTGTAACGTATTTTCGTGTGGATTGTGACTTCGACGTCGGCAGGAACGCCCGTCTTGTCCATGCATCCAAAGGGTTAGCGTAGAGCACATAGATACGCAGAAGCCTTCACCGATCGCCCGTGACGACGTTTAGACCTCGCAGTAGAATCACGCAAGAAGGAAGGTGTCATGCGGAATCTGGAGGTAGGTGACTGGCGCGGGGCATTTTGCTTCAGGGATGGCGTCATCCCCTGGGATATGTCGCCATCGGGAGAAGAAAACGACGATATCCGTGCACCGGACAGCATGCCAGCCGAGTGGACCAAGCGCAGCGTGCCCGATGTCGTGGAGTGGCACAACCCCTGCTACTCGCATGGGTCATCGAAGAACAACCCGGCGGATTTCTTCTCAGAAGCTGTCCCTAGAACAACAGCCGCAGCAGGAGAGGAGGCAGCTGATCCTCAACCTCAACCAGCAGCGAGATATGATGGTACGCGCTCCGGTCCAGCTTGGACGGTCGCTTTGTGCGCACTATGGGGGTGTCGTGACACCCGAAGTCTCAAAGCCTCTCTCCACGTAGCGGGAAGGGTTGTTCTGGACCTTCTCCCTTCGGAGCTTAGCACGGCATTCGTCGAATATGAACGAGCGATCAGTGAGAAGCGGGCAAACTTCACACATATCTTTACACCATCAGGTGACAAGCATGATCATGACATGTGTGTGTGAGCCCCCCCGAAAGGGGTGTTCTCCACCCCTTGGATCCAAGAAAGGGAACATGGTTCAGTCTATTGCGTACGTAGCGCAGCATTTTGTATGCAACAGCAGAAAGACACGACAATTTGTACTTTTTTATGTGAGTAGTCTATTGATATCTACGGCCGCCTGAAACCGTATGATGCTCGTTCGTGTGCACGGAGAGGAGAAAAAAAAAATAGTCTACAAAGTCTGTTCTTCGAACTCTCATGAAAAAGAATGTCGACAGCCTCCTCTATCTTCCACGACTACCTTTCCAGTTTCGAGGGTCCTACAACGTGTGGTGTTCGAACAACAACGCCGCACGTAGAAATGGGTGTAGAAAATCTATCTTGTCGACAGTGTCCAACAGAAATCATGACCATTGTCGCTACGTAAGCGTTACGGGTTAAATTCTACAGGAACACCACAACCTTACCAGGCCGAAAATGCTGATTTTTGGGTAGACGTGGAAGAAGCTTACAGCTCAAGCTCTGGAACCGTCGATCAATGATCCCGGAGGCCTTGGTTCTCATCAATGTGATATGAATTTGACGCAAAGAGGTAAACGCCGTTGTCGTCATCGTTTCTGTCTGCCTGTCTGTCTCCGTCGTCTCCGTCTTTGTCCCGGTCTCTCCCTTAACACCCTGTTTACCTCTATTCCGTTCTCTCTATATTCGACAGTCGAAAACATGGTCGTGGCAGTGGCAGCCAAGTTCAAGAAGGAAGCGACGGCGAGTCTCCCTCTCCACGTGCTTCAGGTATGCGAGGCAAAAAACACTCCACCCTGTAGCATTTCGGGGAGACTTGGTATCCAAAAAATTTCAACTTCGAATTGATTTTGTACGGAGGGTTGGATATTGTTGCATATCAACTGTTTGGCATGCGTGTAGATTGTTCGCAGTGCTTCGGGAGAAAGGTTTGGACTGACGCAGTCTCGAAACCACTGCACAACAGCCGTCCTGGTCACCTGGTTGACCTTCAGGATGAAGAGTGTACATCATTTTTCTAACATCTAATTGGAGATTGGCACTCCAGCTGTAGGTCTTCTTCTGGAAATACACATGGCGGTAGTTTTGCAGAAACAGGTCAGGTCGGAAACCGCGCCCTAGTACTAAATGTTTTTTAACACGAAAAAAAATAACGAGCCCTAAACAGGTGAGGACAACCACTAACCAGCAGCAACTACCCCCTGCCGCCACCCCCACCGATCATCACTGCTGTACTGTGTTGTTTTAGCTTGTCTTCGGGTTCATCAGTTTGTCGAACAACGGCGTGCTGTGCACGGTGAGTCAGGATTTTCGGGAAGCCGCAGAGGGAGATGGTCTGTGGCGAGAAGCGTACGACGAACGATTTCCAGATCTTCAGGGTGAACCAAGCGAGAGAGCTGGGCAAGGAGGTCCCGATGCTGGCGGCGGTGGTTGTGGCCCTGTTGATTGCAGGAAAGCCGCTGCCATTAAGCCGACAGCAAGCGGAGGAAGTTCGTCTGCCGGTGATAAGAACGGTGATGGCTTCAAAGGCCGCTACAAGAGGAGATTGCTGGACCCCCATGTGAGTCGGTGTCTTGGTGAAGTGGAACCGTCAACATATTGAATAGCCGAGGAGATCGCGGTTGTGGAGCACGTCGAATGCGGGAGGTGAATAAGGGTTAAGGATGGCAACGCCAATGTAGACCCTTACGATCAAATTACTTCGGTGTGGTATCAAATTGCAGGACGTCGGTCCCGTCGAAAGAGTCAGCCTGCAATTATCATGACGGGTTCCCTACGCTTGAGCAAGAGCCTTCCCAATACCGAAAACCGTACCCTTGGTACTCTGTACTTCTATTGATGGACAGACCTTGCAGCACGAAACCTTATCGTGGACAAACAGCCTTCTGTTCTCACCTGGCTCGTCTTTGGGTTGTTGTCGACAGTGCAGCTGCTGCCGGTTCCCCTCACTATTTTGTTCAATTTCAATCTCTTCGTTTGGCAGGTGGGTGACGAGGTTCAGGTTGCATGGAAAGGAAAGTTTAGATTGGAGTCCTTGGAGGTGTACGACGGGACGGCCTGGTGGCTAGCCCGGGTTGTGGACAAGGGAGAAATCCCCGGCTATTACAAGGTACAGTAGTCGTTCCTGTCGTATAAGGCCCCACAGCACCAAGGGGTTTGGCCGGCACTACTCAGAGCATGAGGAAACTTGAACATCCCGCCTGAGTCACGCGGCCTCACCGGGCTTTTCAGGACAACCGGCCTCATGTATTGGGCCTTGTACAGGGTGACCACTGCTTACATCGTATCTTTTGTAGTTGAACTTGGTCTTTGAAATTTGTTTAATATTGTTCCAAAAACAGTGTTATTTTGGTGAAATGTACGGCGAAGATTGACGGGTGCGACAAAGCTCCCCCACCAACGCATGGACAGCGTGGGCGGCGCCCGTGTTCTCAGAACATGTTTCCCACAGAAGTTGTTCGGTAGACGAGGTCACCCTTTCGGTTACCAAGCCAACAAATACCCGGCGAAGATGTCCTGTGCGACACTCCTACTCGAGGTGTTATCTCGTATCATGACGGGAAAGCGTCAGTCCTCTCCCTGTTTCTGCGTATCACCACGAAGTGACGATGCCACCACGTGCCTTATCGCAGACTCCAATTAAAGAATGTGACAACACATGTCGCGTGAGGCTCATGCCAGCAAGCAGCGCTCTCACCCATTGTGGCTTTCTTGCCGTACACCAAGCACACAAGAAAAATATAAAATCAAGCAGATGAGCCTTCCCCCTCCTCCTGCCTCCCCCCTCTATGACACCCAAGGTCCACTACCCAGGATGGGAGCCAAAGTGGGATGAATGGGTGGTTCGTGACCGGCTGAGGTGGGGCAATGAGCACCTTGCGGCACCCCTGAAAGGGATCCCTCTTCAAGCGGGGGACGCCGTCGAGGTGTGGTGCAAAGGTTTGCACGTGCCGGGAGCTTGGCTTGAGGCCGTGGTGGACGAGGTCGAGAAGGAGCGCGTTTACCTCGGGGAGGTGCGTTCGCACGGATCAGGGGGGATCTGCCGGGTGGGGTTGCTTTGGGGAGGTGCTGGTTCTTGGGCTTTGACTGGAGTTCACCACTCGTGCATCAATCTCCTCCGGCGCCGATAAAATAGTTCAAGGGCAAACAAGAGCCTCGTCCCCCTCGCCTTCGGATGTGTTTTCTAACCCTAACCCGTCCAGTTTTTTACGCTGCTATCAATCTTGTGATTTAACAGTTTCGATTCGGGGTGACAACAAAAAAGTGAAATACGCCAGGGCGCATGCCTTCTCGGCAATTCTTCCATGAACAAACAGCTTCCAATGCGCAAGGAAAGGCGCACCTTGAACTCTCAACCTACAATAGCCGCTAGCACAAATCGAGGCTACCAACTCTGGTTGTAGACCATGTCTGTCTGTCTGTCTCTTGTCGCACCATCTTACACAGCAAGCTCCCTCTCATTACTTCGCACAGTCACTGTGCGCCATGGCATTGTCTCCCTCACCATAGCCCCTCAGCCCCGCTCCGCCCCCTCTTTTCGAACAACGCCCAGCAGGTGCTTACATCCGGCCAGTTTTGGGCGAGGACGGAGCACGTGCGCCTGATCCGTAAGGGTCCTGTCGACGACGATGGGGGAGAGTTTCGGCTAGGCTACACGTCAGCGTGCCGCAGAAGAAGCAACAGCGTTCTTCTCCAATGCCTGTCTGACGCTGGTTTTACCACCGAGAGCACCTCCTGCTACTGCTCCGTACAGTGATGATACACCTCGTGTGCCATTCATTCCTCATGTGGAGAGAATCAAGACAACCCTTTTCGCGCCGGCTACCGATCAGGACCTTTTCCGGCCGTTACGCGAACTGGCACTTTCACACAAACGAAGCTGCTATACAATGCGAATATACACCACGTGATGTCTGTTTTTTCATAGCGTATTGGGCGCTGACACGCCGTGGAATTCCGAGGTACTGTGGTCCTTTGCAACTTTCGTGTGTGTTAACCAATCAGATGTTGGATGTTTCCTACAGGCCGGGCAGGCGGTGGGCCGTTGTTGTGAACGTGGGGAACTCCAACGGGGGGGGGGGGGCGTATTGTTTCAAAACGAACGTGGATTCATAACGGCTGGGTGCTTCGCCTTCGTGCTATGCCACGTGACATACAAGCGTGGCAAAGAGAGCATGTCATTC